TCCTTCCTTCCTTCCTTCCTTCCTTCCTTCCTTCCTTCCTTCCTTCCCATCTATCTATCTATCTATCTATCTATCTATCTATCTATCTATCTATCTATCTATCTATCTATCTATCTATCTATCTACGTGCTTTACTTTGGAGAGAAGCCTTGACTAGGGAGTTCTCTTGTGCTATTCTTTTGAAAACGTCATGGCAACGTACGGCGACGCAAGTGTTTCCGTTTTCACCCTCTCATCCTGTTAACGAAGCAAAAGTCGACTTTTGTTGTCCCTTGTTGCTACCCGTCCGTACCTTACTGTTCATCTGTTAGAAATGGCTGAAGCCCCTCCACGGCCCTGCCGGTTTTTTTGCCACCGGTGTTCAGCAGAAATTACTCCACGTTTACCGGTAAGATTACACAACAGATGTTATCCAGCGGAGGGGAAATTACGTTTGGGCTTGTGATTTTACCTCTGTATGGGGAGCTCAAAGAGTCACGTCTACTCTTTGCTGCTGTTAAGCTAAATCAGTTAAGCTAACCTTATAGTAACCACAGGATGTAAGTGACAGACTGAAAGTTGGCGGGTGGACGTGTGTTATAATCGTGTGCTTCACATATATATGTCCACAAGGATAGTGCTTTTTTTTTTTTTACAGACTTAAAGGTTTCTGTTGGGATGACACGTGACGTTTTCTGGAATTCTGTAGAATCCCATTTTAGATTAATCTGTCAGATTTGAGTTCACAGTTCATTATTTCCACTCAGCAGATTTATTAAACTCCTAGTAACTATCTTTTGCCTAAAATGTTTATCATTAGTAGATGGCAGCTGTTTTCAGTTCCCCTAGAAATGAAATACAACCGACACTGTTTCACTTCAGGTTGAAGTCAGAGTCAAGCGGTTGACATTGCAGCATGGCACAGGCTTACTAGCTTGTCAAAGCAGCCTGTTGTCAGCTTTTCATGGGAAAATTCTTGAATGTTATAGTAACTTTTACCCTATACTCAGTGACCTGCTTGTGTGTTTGATGGTCTTTTGTCAAGAAAATACTAACTGAGGGTTCATATTTAAATGACAGGAATACATTTTAACAAATATGTGAATGCGACAAACAGCCAAAAGATGGGGCTTTTTATTCTATGCTGCTATTTTAGATTTTATTTACATTAGATCTGAAGAGAATATAGTTTTTCACTTGTTAGATCTGGTGTATATTCATATTTTGTGCTGTTTTTCTAGGACTATACATGTCCACGATGTGAATCTGGTTTTATTGAAGAATTATCGGAAGACAGAAGGTGCAGTACATTTTTTTTATGTGTGAAGTTTATTCATTTGACCTCTAAAGTTTGTTGATTTTATGTTTCTGAGCGTTACTGTTTGTGCTTCAGGAGCTCCGAAAATGGGTCTGCATCCACCTCCTCTGCCAGTGATCACACTCGTCAAGCTTTTGAGGTCAGTGTAACATGGGAAATGAGAAGAGAGAAGACAGGGTTTTCCACCCTTTACCATGGTTTGACTTTGATTGTCTCTTTATTGATAGAACATGGATCACCAGCACTTATTTACATTTCCCCCTGGATATGGTCCTTTCACCCTGGGCATTTTTGATGAAAATTTTGACCTCCGAACGCGTTTACCCTCAGAGGACAACAGAGAGACAGAAAACAGGAGGGAAAGGGAAATGGCATCCCGTCAGCGATACAGTGCCAGGCAGCCACGGGGTCGACATGTTCCTAGGCGACAGGGTACGCGTCATGAGGGAGTGCCCACCTTAGAAGGGTGAGATATTTTTATCCATACTGAATATGTGAAGTGTGGAAATCATGTAAACTTCTGTACATGTTATACTTATGGAGTTTTATCATAATAAAATACCAAGTGTTTTTTAATTAATGCAGCTTATAACTGTATGGTTTCACATTTCCAAGCATTATGTTGTGTTTTCAAGGTTCTTAGCAAAGAAAAAAAATATTTAAAAAAATATTTAGTACAACGTATTATGCTATAGCACATTGAATTGTCCTGCACACAAAATGTGCGTTACAAATGAATTTGCTTTGCCTAATTTATACATGCTAATAATCATGAGATTTTAAACAGTCATGTGAAAAGCTAAAAACAAACAAAAAACATGTAACATGTCACAAAGTGTCTTTATTTCCGATGTCTTTAAGTACTACTTTGCTGCTTCTATGGGAATGCAAAGGGTTAGTAGCAATAAGCTGCTCCGGGTGAGTTGCTCATCACTAAGTGTGAGTGTGTTTTAGTAGTTGGCTTGGAGCCTCTGGCTTTGTGTTAAGACAATACAGAGGATGAAAGACATTCTCAATGATCTCAGAGAAGAAATTGTTGCATCACGTCACAATTTAGAGTTATCGTGTCATTGTGCTATGAAAAAGACTAACTGACCCCCTCTCTTAGTGGACCTGATCCTACCATGATTTTTTTTCTCTTTATACAGAATTATCCAGCAGCTAGTTAATGGAATCATAGCACCTACAGCCATGCCGAATATTGGGATGGGACCATGGTAAGTTGACAAGGCTCTGAGACATGTGTGTGCTATTATTCAATTTTTTTAACCATATTGACTTTGTTTATATTGCTTCTACACCACCTTTTGCTGTAAAGGGGTATGCTACATTCTAATCCAATGGACTATGCTTGGGGTGCCAATGGACTTGATGCCATCATCACACAGGTATAAAATGGTTTGTTCTTTAACTTGACACCAGATAAATAGTTCATACTAAATTAGCAGAGGATCATTATTATGTAAGTGTAAGTTTCTACATTCTAATTTTCTTGTTAAAATGTTGTAATTCAAATTTGTAACAGGATCTGTAAAAGTTGTCACTTGCAGAGAACCCTCGTTATCATGCAAATGATCCCACAGTCATTAATTTTTTATTCTGCTATCTTTCATTTGAAGTTATTAAACCAGTTTGAGAACACTGGTCCCCCTCCTGCAGACAGAGAAAGAATAAAGAACTTACCAACCATTTCCATCACACAAGAACACGTCAGTAAGTCCCTCAAAGAGTGGTCTTTAGATTTATACTACCGTACATTTATTTTTGTCAGTTGATATTTATGTTGCAATATTGATCTCATATTTGTGTGGTTAGAAAAAATCTGCACAATGCTAAACGTTACCGTCCGTAAATTAAACAGTCCTTGTTTAAACTCTTTGTATGACTGAAGCTTATACGCACAGATGGATCATGGGTCATGTTTTCTGTTTGTGCAGGTGCTGGTTTAGAGTGTCCCGTGTGCAAAGAAGACTACAGTGTTGAAGAGAGAGTTAGACAACTTCCATGCAATCACTTGTTTCACAATGACTGCATAGTGCCGTGGCTGGAGCAGGTATGTATATCCAGTGTGCATTTGTTAAAGCAAGCCAATGATACTCCTGGTTTTAACCCTGTTCCTGTCAGGCTGTGCCAACTGGGTTTAGTCTTTACCTCTCACACAACAATACATATAGATAAGAGTAAATGCATTAGAGTAGAAAAAGTCTATTTTTCCTTATAAATGTTACTAAACCGCCACGGTTTTTTTCTTTTTTCTTTTTTTATTAGTCTTTTTTGACAGACAGACAAACATAAAAATCAATGAAATCTATAAAAAAAATTCTGTCGCTTTTGAATATATCAAAGAACCAACAACACACAAACCAAAATACAATGGAACTAAATGACAACAACAACAAAAAACAAAAACAAAAACAAAGACAAACAAAGTGCCTATGTTATACCCTATATCAAACCAAGACCTCTGAGCAAATCAAGTTGGTACAGGAGTATCACATATATCACACTTATCCAGTCATGTCTATATAATTAAAAAATACCTTCCAAACCTGATTGAACAGCTCTTCTCTCCTTCTACTCCATGTTATTTTTTCTAACTACATGTGTATAGTGATTCAGTTGATCTACTGTGACAGCTCATCCTGATCCTGATGTACACAAGGAAGTCAAGTTGAGTTATTGACCAAAGTACATCTGATGCTGCAGAACTATGGAAGACTGACAGCCATTAACATGAGCCAATACCAACATTTATGTTGTAGCTAAGCAAGCTAAGCAATGTGACAGTTAAGATAAAAAAGAAAATGATAGTCATTTAAAACTTTGCCATAAATGTAATTGCAAAGAGTAGTAGGAACATAAAAACACAGCTACCGACTCCCAACTCCTGTTCTTTGAGCTCATACCTGCTTTTGGCTTTGTTCCGCCTGCTGGCCGAGCAGATTTATGTTTGCAGACGGTACTATCTACATGAGTTTCTATGGTAACAACAACTGAGGCATCTGTGACAAAGTGGTTTCACTACTGAGGTAGCTTTTTAGCACTACGTTTCTAGATTAGCCTGAACAGAAGTATGACAACTAAATACAAGCAAAGAACCTAATCATCATCATGTGGACTGTCACCAAAGACATTGAAATCCTATTTAAGTAGCAATACTGTTTGTATTGTACTTGTATGGATTTGAATACATTCAGGAATCAGGTCAGCATTGTTTCCCAGGACATTTCCAAATGTGCGGGCTGGATTAGGATTGCAGAATTGACTTGATTGACAGTCTGAACACGGTGTCTGTAAGACATTTAAGTTCCAAACTAGTTCTGTGATGTGGCTACATGATCGCAGAATTTTTACACTGATGATTTTTCACATTGATCTGAGGAAATTTAATTCAGAAATAGAAGTAAACCACTTGGTTATCAGTTCCTGATGTCATGGGGGCTGGATGACTGTTGCTTTCAAGAGAAAAATACCGTCCAGATTCTCATGTAAATTCATTCATCTGTGCACTGATCATGATCTATTTTAACCTGTCCGTCCTCCTCTCCGACAGCACGATACATGCCCCGTGTGTAGGAAGAGTCTTAGTGGACAGAACACAGCCACAGACCCACCAGGGCTATCGGGAATGAACTTCTCTCCTTCCTCCTCCTCCTCATCCTCCCCAAGCTCACCTAGTAATGAAAATGCGGCCAGCAACTCATAGACCTTCCTCTGTGGTCTGCAAACACCAAAACCTGCTGAGATCAAGGCCGTTTTCTGTTGTGACTCTTGAGGACTAACTTGACTTTTAGTCATTCCTCTCTGTGTGTTGAATGGATGCCAGGTCCAGCGCCTGCTGCTATTGTTCCAGACTTTAAGAGACGTTTAGACTGAGTTGAAAGAGAATTCAGAGAGGTTGTGAATTATAATACCAATGGGATTGCGACCAGACCCGGATCTTTTGTTTTGAGCCATCATGGACTGCTTTTTGATGGGGCCGTGTCTTTGCCACCAAGGCTGAGAGACGTTTTATATATTTAAAGGTCACAAATGTTCTTTTTAGATACATGAAGAAAAGAGACAAAAAACAATGCCTGTGGTGGTGTTAAATTAAGTGATGCCTGGATATAGAATTTATTTGGAACTGTCACACTGTGCAGCCAAAAAATCAAATTAGATTGCCCTTGTGAAAGAATCTGATATACAGCAGAATTTCTATTTATTTGTATCTTCCTTTTGCATAGCATTCTGCGTCGTAGTGAGAATGTGAATTTGGGTAAACTACTGTACAAATACAAACAGGATACAACTTTTTCTTTCAATTCATTTTTCAGAACGTGTTTGCTTTTTTTTTTTTAAATTAACCTTTTATCCAAGCTTATTCTGATGTAAACATTTGTTACCGAGGTAAAAATGGTTACAGCTCAACAAATGCACATGCTTTTTAGTCCTCTAGTGACCGTCGGAGGCGTGGATAATCTTACCTCTATGGAAGTGGCCAAATGTGTTTCACTAAACAAGTGTTATTTTATTTGCTGAATTTTTGTACTGTTACAATAAAGTGCTAACCCCCCCCCAAACAGATTTCAAGATTTCTGTGAAAAAGGTGCAGGTTGACAACCGTAGAGAGTGGAGATGAAGTTTGAAATGAGAATTGATTTTAAAGGATGAATAATTGAGCAGCCTTTTTTTAAACAAGTGATGAAACGGCTTAATTAAATTAGATGTCTCTTTATTAATCGCTTAAAAAATTCAGACCTGCTCTTTGTGTCCTAAAAGTAAGCGTAGGCTGAATGGTTTAAAACGTGTTTAATGACCATTAACACAAACTTTTTCGTTTTAGTTAACGAATGTCATTCAAAAAGGAAAAAGGAAAATGAAAAGACACCGCAGCAGTGTTTTTAAACGCACAACATTTCAATTAGAGATGTTTTGGTCAACTACATCTTGATTAGTCACGACGAAAGTAGAAAAAAAGCTCTTTAAGAGTCGTGCAAAAGAGGCAGTATCCAGTGTTTAATTCCATGAGAATTGGCAGACTAAGAGTTCACAGACAGTACCATTGATCTGACAATCTTTATCAGTGCTTAACAAGCAGGTGGTGGATGAGTCACTGCAGGGGCCCCTTGAGCTTCTCTTATTCAAATGAACAGGAATACATTAATTTTATTGATGCGGCTTTCAAAGTTGCTGGTGCTAACAGATGAGGTGTTGCCGCCCACTCCAGATATAAAAAGCACCTAGGCTGGTCACCGTGGCTTATTTGCACAAACCTGACGGAACGGGGGCTCTGCCGGAGAAGAATGTGTCGCCCATAAAAACCAACAGGAAGGGCAGTTTGTTGGGGTGGATGCAGATGTTGCCGTGTATTTCCTTCCCCATTTGTTTTCGGGGTTCGTATACTGTCCCAAACCAATAAGGTCATCGCTTGATCTTCTTTATATGAGATAACATGCTTCATTTTGATCAATGAATGCTGCTTCCACGCACATGGTGTCGCCACCTGTGTGCTGCCGAGTGTGTTTCCAGGCCAGCTTTTTTTTTTAAAGTCGGAATGACTTTTTTCCCCTTAAAATCTTACTAAACTGTGTCACCCTGCTTAGCAGTGTCTATGCATAAGTTCAACTAAATGAAGTGGAGGTATATTGGCTGAGATATTGTGTAACCAGAGTGTTTTAGAAGAGACATTTGGTCTATGACCTCTATGAAATGATGATGAAAAGCAAGTTTTCAAGACTTGCTTTTCATCATAATTTCATATGGAGCACAGTGGATAATAAGTGAGATCTATAGTGTGAGGTAATATTTTTTGTATGATGCATATGAGCTGTTGCTTTTAGGTGTCGCATGTTGTCTGTGGTTTATAAAATGGTAAATATGGCCCAAATGAGATTAAACTTAAACTAGATCATAGAAAACAGGTTAACCACTTTATCTCTTTTCTGGTGAAAGAGCACTTGATTATCGTGGCCTATATGCGTATACGGATGGCGGTCTTTGCACATCACTCAATGGTCCTGCTCAGTGTTATTCTCACGACATAAAACAACAGCCACATGTAAACCGTATCACAAATCTATTCTAGAAAACATAAAAATAAAGAAAGACTCTACCACCGGGGAGATGTGTCTTGTTTTTTGTCTATTTGACCTGAAGATGTGGCAGAAAAAAGGACAATGGACATTTGGTGCCACGCGTGCTTAATCTGTGAGGCCACTAGAGGGCGCAAAAACCCTAATGAGGCTAATGAGGCTCAAAGGAGATTGTCCTTGTCAACACCATTTAAAAAGCATGACTTTGAATCTTCATTAACACGTGGCCATCGTACCTTTGACGTTTGCAGGCTTTTATGCCGGAACCGACACAAATACGCGCGTGTGTGTGGATAGAACCACGTACGGTCACCGAACAGAAGCTGGAGGTCACGGCCAAGGGCCTCATTTGGATGCAAGTTGAATTCATGTTAAAGTTGCAAAATCGAACGAACATTTTAATCACATGTGACGCAATTTTGTGTGGAGGGGGGGGGGTTAATTGATCCAATGCTTGGACGTCTGCCACAATGGCTCAGGATAAACGCATTGTTAAAGTAAGTCACGTCCACCTCTCCCTCTTGTCCTCCTTACTTTCTCTCTCTGTCCCTTCCCTTCTCAGAACCCCCCCACCCCCACTCTCCCTTCTCTCTGATTGGCCTTCTTCAAAGATAATTGGAGGCAAATTTTGATATGCTCAATGTCATGGACAGGGATGAGGTCTCACCGGTGTCTGCTGGCACCATGAAAAAGAAGGCGGTGGGCGGCAGCGGACGCGGCCACATCAGCCCCCCCAAGGCTGTCGCATCCAAACTCAGGAGAAGCGACAGCCGACAGAACCGCTCGGACTCCGGTTCCTCCGGCGCGACCCGCGACGTCGCGATGGACGAGACGGAGGAGGGCGAGGAAGAGTCCAAGTTCCAGCATCCGCGGTTGCGCCGAGCCGGGGGGAGCGGCGGCGGCGGTGGAGGCGGAGGAGGAGGAGGAGGCGGAGGCAGTATCAGGATGAAGAACTTTACGCCAGGAGGGGGAGCCGCGTCCTCGGCTTCCAGGAGAAACTCCAACAAGGAGCCCTGCCTTACGCACACAGAGGACGTCCCTGCCGCCTCACGGCCCACTGCTGCCTCCAGAGCCACCGAAACACCCCGTCCGGGCGATGCTGCCCGACGTGGCGACAAAAGCAGAGCATCCGGGCCGGAGGCGTCGTGTTCCGCGGTCGCGGTCGAGGCGCTGAGCGCGCCGGCGGGTGATGCTGGTTGCAACGGCGCCGTTCCCATTTCCAGCATGAAATGCAACAAGAACGGAGAATGCAGGAGAGGCTCGGGCACCGGGAGCCTGCGCTCGATCATCTCCAAACAGGAGAGGCAGACAGCGGGGAAAGCCGAGGACGGAGGGGGTGCCAAACGCGGAGCCTGTAACTCGACCAGCGCCAGTATGGACGGCTCCATCACGCCAGGTGGGTCCCTGACCGGGGGGCAAGGAGGAGAGAGCGCCAACCCGGGCGCCACCCCTGTGTCCAGCGGCGTGCCCGAGAAAAAGGACTCCAAGGTGTCCTTCTCCAACGCGCCGAGCCGGAAAGCCTCGTCCTCCCTGCACGGCCCGACCCAGACCCAGACCCAGCAGCCGAGGAACTCTGTCACTTTCCAGAAGCCGGAAGATGGACCGCCGATTGTGCCCGCCGAGGATGCGGAACCTCGGGGCAGCCAAGCCAGCTTCATGCAGCGGCAGTTCAGTAGTATGCTGCAGCCGGGAGTTAACAAATTCTCCTTACGCATGTATGGCAGTCAAAAGGCAGTAGAGAGGGAGCAGGAGAGGGTCAAATCAGCTGGAAATTGGATTATCCACCCTTATAGCGATTTCAGGTAAGGAAACGGGGACTGGCGTTTGGTTCGCACGGGTCGGAGTCACGAGAGGGCCGTGAGGGCTCCTCATTATCGCGCACAACTTTAGTTTATTGTGAGAGGGACCCGGTGACAATGGAAACGTGGTTAGTGTTCAAATGGCTGCTGTTCCTTTTCCAGTCCCACATAATGACATATTCACAGAGTGGAAACGTTGCGTTAACACGGGGACACTGCCATCCACACCCCTCCCTAAAACAACCTGTTGTCAGGCAAATGGACTTTCAGCAGAGTGTCCTTTCAAGGTTGTAAACAAATCCCGCTCCCGTCGGAAGAGTAGAGCACGTCTGGGTATATGCGCTCAACAAGACAGGCCTGTTATCACATCCCGGCTTTTCGCTGCGCGACGCTCACATTTATCAAAGAGGACAGAGCCGCGAAGCGACTATAGGCTTCGTTTCAAAAGCATTTTTTTTCTCCAACGAATCTGATTGTTGATGGCGTTTGTTCTGCGACCAGAGCCTCGCTATAACTGGATGTAGGTTATCTGTGTCTGCGTGCGCGTCTACGGATGCGTACACGTGCGTGTGAGCGTGTGTGTATTCCGTGCACTCAGTAATGGAATGTCACCTTGAGCCAAGTGAGCGAGAAAAACCTCAAGCATGCTCACTGGAGTCATGCCCCGCTCGGAGGACTCTCCGGATCGTGCGTTGGCTCATCGGAAGCGCTCCGAAAAGCAAATAACCGCGCTGGACATTGGGGCACCTATTTGCCATTCATATATTTAGGAAAAAGCCGCGAGCCAAAGGGCTTCTGGTGACTAATGCATGCCTGAAAGACCCCCCCCCCCTACACACACACACACACACTGCCCAAACTCGTCTGGAGTCGCTGAGTTAAGGTTTTAAAACTGGTGGATTTGGCTCTGGTCTGGGCTGGGCCAGTTGGTTTCAGCACCACTGGGAGTGGACAGTTCCTCTCTTATTTGGAGCGCACTCTCGGTTTTCACCGTTACCTTTAACCCCTTCAGCCCCCGTTTTTATTTTATTTTATTTTATTTTTCTCAGCGCCATTCATATCTGGCCCACTTACATATAACCCGAGCCGTGGTCAGCGGGTCACTAAACGCTCCTCTTGAGCCACAGCTTCAACCGCTGGGGTCGACGGGTCACTTTTACGAGAACGCCATGGGCCGCGTGAACTCCAGCACGAGACACAGCCGCCGCTAACCCCCCCCGGTCATGTGTTTGTTTTCTAATGAATAATGAATCCACACAGTAAGGTTGTTTCGGATGTTGTCATCCTGCCGGTTTATTGTCGTGGCCGTGCGTCGGAGGAGTCGGAGTTTGTTGCGTAAGTCGCAGTGTAATGACTCAGCGCCGCACCTGTCCTGCGGAGCTTCCTCCGACGGGCCCAAACCTCAGCCCTTTTTTTGACTTTCCACCCCAACCACCGTCACTTCATCAGCAAGGAGCGAGACACTCATCTGTCTGCTAACAATGTTGACTTTAACGTGCCAGAACCCCTAAAAGATGCAGCTTTCAGATGAACCTAATGGGTATATAACATAGCTCACCTTAATTTAAATACATATTCATTTATTATTATCATTATTGTTGGTTTAAATAACCATCTTGTGAATGGCCTGTGTAGCTGCAAAACAAGCAGTATCTTCACATAAATGTCAAACTATAAGTGCTCTTTTTATTGGATTATTACTGATTATGCAAAAATAAAGAAATGCGTTTATCCCTTATAAAACATGCTCCGCACTGGGATTGGTTGAGCCTCACACAGCAAGCAAAACTAATACCATCTACATAAAATGTGAAAGAAGACTGAAGGTATAGCTTTTCATTGGACAGGGCAAATGTAGGCCAGAATAAGTACTAGAAACAGAGCCATGCTTTCTTTTTACCCTGAGGTATACCAGCATGAACGTTATTAGATTAATTGTCTGCATAATGAAATTTCTTATGTTTCTTATAAACACTAACTACATTGCATGGTGAACTTCATCAGTTTGTCTTTCCCTCTTTAACCTCTGTGTGTACGGGCAGAGATGTCGTGACTCCTGCACTTTGGATTCACTTTTCCAACATAAGTGGAAATGTCTCGCGCCTACAGCCTTTCCACAGAAACTGACTCTGTTTTTTTTTATCTTTGTCTCCTTCCTCTGCTTTTACTCTCTTGTACACCTCACACATCTATATTTACCCACTGTCATGCTTCCACCTCTGCTGCTGTAGGTTCTACTGGGATTTTACAATGCTGCTGTTTATGGTGGGCAACCTGATCATCATCCCCGTAGGCATCACATTCTTCAAAGATGAGACAACTACTCCCTGGATCATCTTCAACGTGGTGTCTGACACCTTCTTCCTCATGGACCTGGTGCTCAACTTTCGCACTGGAATCATCATTGAGGATAACTCAGACATCATTTTGGACCCTAAAACAATAAAGAGAAAGTACTTGAAAACTTGGTTCATTGTAGACTTTATCTCCTCCATCCCAGTGGATTACATATTCCTTATAGTGGAGAAAGGAATCGACTCGGAGGTGTACAAGACTGCTCGGGCCCTGAGGATCGTTCGCTTTACTAAGATTCTGAGTCTTCTGCGGCTTTTGAGGCTCTCCAGATTAATACGTTACATTCACCAGTGGGAAGAGGTAAGATCACACGTTTTGTTAGCATGTCTGGTCATTTACATACATGCATTCGGTATTAATAATAAAACAGACATACAGATGCACACGTCCAATGTGTTTGCCTGTGAAAGGTCACTGGTTTGCCTCCAATATGGTGGAATTGGCTCGTGACCAAAACAACAATCTGCCTCTCTGTCTGCTCCAAGTGGCCCACTCTCCCTCACCTGGAGACTCAGTATTGATGTTCTCACCTGCCACCTGCTGAGAAACAAACATTCTAATGTCAGCAGGACACGTGAGCATAAACAAATGTTGCTTTGTAATTACTGCTATTGTAACACTTCCACCTCCTCCCTCTGTCTGACCTGACAGTCCCACAGGTTGCATCAGGCAAGCTAATAAGCAGCCCGTTATCTGGGCAAACATATTCAATCAATTAAAGCACCAGAGGAGGAGCAGGTGAGATGGAGGGTGGTGATAATGTGCCGCATTAGGGGGGCAATTGAATAAGGTGGTACAATATGTGTCAGTAATTGCTTATGAGCCGCAAGTATTCATAGGTGACCATGTGAAACACATATAAGATAAATTAAGCTGATGGAATATTATCTCTGTGGGATTTCCCATCTTCCTTGACAATGAATTGACTGAGATTACACTTGGAACTTTAAAAAAAAGGTAATCAATCCCTTTCCTTGCCACCTCACCGTTTATTCACAGTGTAGACATTTTTTCACATCTTCTCAAACTGTTGTCCTCAAAGAAGAACAACCTGGGACACATGTGGTCCAGTAATGCCACGAGATCACTCGACTTTTCACTTATGCCAGTATTGGCAGCCTGGCGTTGGCATTTTACAGCAGTGAACGGCACAGTAGGGCTCGGCTGCTCACTTGACCTTTGGATAATTGGATTTCTGAAGATACGATGTGATATGCACACATACACATACAGTGATGCATGATGGGAAGTGATACTTGGCACGCATTGAGAATGAGGAAAGAGGAGATGAAGAGTAAGACACTGGCATGTGGTGGAATTGCCTACTCCAAATGCCTGCCTCTTTAATGTTATCTGTAACAGTGAGCTGTTTTTTTTTTCTTTTAGCTGTCCATGGTGCTGAACATCTTTAGCTGCCTGAACAACACTACAGCCCAGACTGTACATTCTCTCATCCATCCTCAGTAAAAAAACATAACATATAATATACAGACATATGATATTTCTTTTCCAGGTAGAGACTTATAGAAAATCAGAGTAAAAACCCTTCAAATCTTAAACTTGCATTTAGAAAGGTCAGCACATATGATTTATGTCCAGTCTCATTCCTCCCATAGCAGAATATCACTTCTCCCTCAGCTGCACCGTTTAAGTAGTGACCCACTTCTTAAACTTCATAGTAGACTTCCTGTGACCTTCACATGGGTTCAATTGTAAAAGGCATGTTTATTTGCATATTTACTACCTTTGCAGATACACTGTAATCACGCTATTGTTAAATTGTAAAGCAGATTTACAGTGAGGTGTCTTCGGGTCAGTCAGGCCATAGGTGATTGGCCGTAGCTACTGTCCGGCGACTGAGAATGATTTATGTGTGAGACGACACAGACTATCAGTTGTTCAAGATCATGATGGTCCCTGTCCATCACTCTGCCCATGCCCAATTTGTGTATGTGATGACGCGTCTGTCAGTGTTGTTAGTCTATCTTTGTGCCTGCAGGCTCGCATGAGTGTAACGTGCTCATGATTGGACCCTGTGCGTGTCTGAGCCTCTGACTGATGTCATGCATCTCTGTGTGAAAAGCGCCTTGCTGACTCCTGCTGGGTTTGATTTGGGACTGATGGGATGTCGCTTTCTCTGCTCATTAATCAAATCTGATTTAATCCACAGGAACTGAGTGTGATGCCAGTTCATCCACCCAGTCATGAATTTTATGTCCTTAGTATTTATAAAAGGCATATTCACTAACTAAAATGCTTTCTTTCTCCACATGTGCCGGCTCAGTTTGATAATGTCTTCTTATTTCGATCCAGATCTTCCATATGACCTATGACCTGGCCAGTGCGGTGATGCGGATCATTAACCTGATTGCTATGATGCTGCTGCTGTGTCACTGGGATGGCTGCCTACAGTTCCTGGTTCCCATGCTGCAGGAATTCCCGTCAGACTGCTGGGTGTCTCTTAACAAGATGGAGGTATGTTTGAAGATTTAGATCTTTGTATAATAAGCCAAACAGGCGAAAAGGTGCAATATAGACTTGTGAAACTTCACACAAAGAGTCTTTATAAGAGAGACGGGTGCTGCTTGAAACATGGTGAGCCACCACTTACCACCAGAGCAACTGGCAGGTTGTGCAAATCTACAGGAAGTATGGTACATCTGTATGACGCTGCATCTTATGATGTATTGAAGAGATTAGTGGAGAGTGGATTAGTGGATGCTTTTCAAAATTACCGTCTAAAAGCAGTTCAACTGGTTTGAGATCTGGTCTCTCTGAGGGCCAATACATATGATTCACATAATTTTCAGTCATCTGCCATTTAGTGAATCCTCATGCCCCAAAGTCAGGGATGCTATTGTCCAATTGAGTTTGGGTCTGCTTGTGCCTCCAGGGACACAAGCGGACACAAAGCATGCTGGGAAATGCACATACGAATCAGATGTTTAGCTGTAGTAGTTTGTAGCCTGACACACTTTTCCCTATGCCAACTTGTTTTCTGCATCTGTGCCTTTTCTTTAGCATTTTTCTACTCCCATTAAAGATGTGATGATTAGAATCAAACAGGGAGTTGTGAAAGCTAACAAATGATAAATCCTAGGTTCCACTTTGTCTTCTTGCCGAATGATACCACTGTCTTCATTGTGTGAAATCTTCTTTTCATCATCAGAAATAAATCTCTTACATTTGACCTCCTGCTCTACCGAGGACTGGTATCTAGGACTGCAACTACTGAACCCTGCCTCTGTGCTCCCAGGAATAATCTAGGACAGTAATTTTACTCCTGGAGAGGTGTCTAATCAAAACATTGTCATAGTGATTAGAAGTACTCCGTACTAGACGCAGCAGAACACCTTTTCCATGGCACAGACTGCTTCTAACGTGAACAACCATTCACTTGTCCAGATACTCTGGCCTAATTAAAACATAGTACCAGCTGATAAATGATGCCAGTATAGGATACAGTTATGTTTAATCACTGTGAGCGTGATGCAATTGGAACAACTTCCATGATGCATAAGGGAGAATGATTTCATAGTCACTGGAGGAGAGGGGATGCGAGGAAGCATAAGTAAGCTCATATAAAAAAGCTCCCATGGTGTGCACAATACATGCTGTGAAAAAAGTGAGGGATGACTCATCTGACCCAGTCACTTTTTTTCCGCATCTCTGTAGATCAGTGTTTGTTGTTTTTGCACCACTGAACTCTGGAATCTACATTCATCTACACAATGAGCGTTCCCGCTCTGCTTTTTTCCTGTTCAAGCCTCCCTTATGTGATTGTAGCTGGACTGTCCTCACTCCCAAATCTGATCATGAATTGATCATCTGAGTCATCTGTAGAAGAGCTCCTTCTCTTGTTTTTATTTACCAATGCATCATACATGTATTATTGTCCTGAAAAATGTGATTCCATGTCTGACTCACCTCCCTGCTTTCTCTTCCTTAGATGTAATTGCGGCACAGTTACTATTGTTAGTATTTTGACTGAAGCTTCTCCCATCCAAACAGAAACCCTCCTTTGAGTTCACTTTCTGATGTAAAATAAGAATCAACTTGGCTTGCACAACATCACAACTGATACTGTGAACCTTCACAGGCTCTCAGTTTCCTGACAGCAGCTTGTAGTGCACTTGGATTTCTCGAATTACTCATGAGTCATGTTTTTCTTTAATTTTCTCCTGTCTGCATGACCTGAGTGCAGAATTAATATCTGGATTTGAGAGTTGACTGCAGAAATCCTCCGTTAACCAAAGCATCGGGCAATCAACAGAAAATCAGTGTAGGTCTGTACTGATATTGATATTGATAATAGTCTATATCAACAACTATATGTTTACTACATAAGGGTCCCTATATTATAAGTTTGATTGTTTGACAAAGACAAAGCTCAAGTGTACATTTGATATTATCTTTCAATTCCACAACAAGACCTTACCAATTTCACATATCAGTGTCTGTTTATAGATCCTTGTGTTCGTGGAAAAGAGAGTTATATAAGATCCTTTGTCACTACAGAGGAAGCTGTATGAACTCTGGTAAATGTCAAGTGATGCTACTTAAAGTTATCAGATATCAGCTACCTGCTCCTCAGCTCTGCTGGAGTTTTGCAACTCAGTAAAGTGTGCTTCAACTAGCATAACAAAATACAGTAACATCGGCCTCACAGAAAGCTTTTGGTATTCTCAATCTTATCCCTGCAAATGTTGTGTTGTCGGAGTGCAGCTGAGTATTCCTTTTAAAGTATAAGCCATTACGAATAAGTGTCTTAATCAGAGAAAACGCAAACAGCAGAATAAAGCGTTTTAGTAATTGGTCCAGTCTTGTAGCAGCTATGCTTTTATGGAAGCATTAAGCTCAAACTGAGAATGAAAATAATTTCATACATATTCTGCTAGCTATTCTGTCAGACAGCGAACATTCACAGGTTATTATTGAAGAAGCAGTGGGAAAAAAGAGATTTAAGCACACCTCTAGATCCTCCTGTGTCTCCTATTCAGCACAGTGAGATGATGACAGGAAAGATAAAAGGTGGAAACAGAGGGATGGGGGAATATGACCAGGCAGCTGGGCTCTTTGTTCCCATCTCTCTGTTAGAGAGATAAAAGCTGGTTGTTTATAGGTTTGTCAGTGAGACCAGCCTTTTACTGGGTGAGGGAAGACCACACCAACTAAAAACACAAGGCAGAAGTCCAAATTGGGTTTTAAACAGATTGGGCCATGCCCCTAGACGTTGTTTGGGCTGAGTATGACTCTTAATAAATTTCAGCTTTGATGTATTTTTGGAAGAGACCACTGATTAATTTGACAGAACAAAATTAATTTTGGTCAAGACCTATTTTATTTGGCAATTTGCATAGACAAACATGATATATTTCAACTTGCTGTGCCAGGCTGTTTCATGATTTGGTTTAGCGTTAGGTTATTAATTTTTGGTTGACAATTTAGGCATGTTTGCAGATTTTATTTAGAGAGAAGGGAAAACAACAAATCTAATCTGCCACAGTGTTGCTGAATATAACTACATTTCAAATGAATAACTTTGTAACATCTTTAACAAGGAATCATCAGGCAAACTGACATGACAGCCTGATCTTCAGATGTATTTCTATTCATAGTTTGTTTACTATGTGAATGAAATCAGACAATGAAGATTTTCATAAACCTGCCATAAATTAGTTAATCTGAAAATATATATCATAGTATATTTATACAAAAATACAGAATTTGTAGATTTACTTGATCTCTAAATGAATTGATTTCAGCCTGTTTTTCACACATAGAGCACAGAATCAGATGTTTGTGACTGTGGTTTCTGCATTAATAAATTACTTGATCCATCTCTACTCTCCTGGTGGTCACAGGAAAAGCAATGTCAAACTTACCAAGACACAATTAGTTTAGCAGTTAATGCCTGAAAAGCATCTTCATGTTATGGTCGCTTCACTTATAAAAAGATACAAAGCAATAGTTAAAATTCAGATAATCTTAACCAGATATGTATGGCAAATATGTAGATATTATAAAAAGTGGAGGTATGCCTATTGTATCTTGGGGCAGCCCTTTAAAAACTCTTACTTATTGCAAACATTCATTATTTTTGTCAGATTTGATCAAATATGATATAGATGTAGATATAATTGAGTAACTTTTTTATTTTCAATAAATAATAACAAATCACAAACATCCATAATCACAAGCTTATCCCACACATTTTTGTGGAATGAGGAAAATAACAATTTATTCGAATATATGATTAGAATAGTTATTAGAAGAAACTCCTTATATGAATCTACTAAAATGTAAATTCACATGTAAGATGTAAAATGTGACAATTGTTTAAACAATATAATATTTCTGCTTTTCATAAATGGTTGACAAGACACACACTAACTTGCTGTGTGAGTTTGAAGTCCAGGATGATGAATTTTGGGACTGACAGGTCACCGACTCCTCTAGCGTTCTCCTCGCTGTAAAATCAAAGACAGTGGGTCTCCGGAGAACCGTCACTCTCGAGTGAAGGGGGCCACTCTGGCACGGTACAGCCTGTATACGGCCACCTGAGGCCAGCCCCCAATTGAGTGGCTGACAACCGGTAACATTAGCCATTGTGTTGCAGCCAGACTATCCATCAAGTATTGCACCCTACAGTGACTCTGAAGGTGTGGGGCCCACAGGCAGAACCCATGGAGGGCGCTGGGAACACTGAATCTGAATGACATCGATCAAGATGTAATTGGATTCTGTCAAACGTGTACTACCTCAGGGAGCATTGCTTGTTTTAGCAAGTGCATCCCAACTTCCATCCTTATATTTAATTTAGTTTAGATTTAAAATCTGCTTTACACAACCTTATCAGGCTCAAAGTTAATTTCCCCGATAGAGGGCTGGCAGAGCCGTGCATTACAGAGGCAACGTGGTAATAATAGTGATGGTAGCAGTAACTGACAGACACAGGGTGTTTAGGCTCAACAGTGTAATTACAACTGTGTGTGCACCGATCCCTTTCTGTATCCAAATCACAGAGATGTCTCTTTCCCATTATTCCCTGTTACCGTCAGCAGGAGGGGTCTTTGCTCTACAGTGGTCTGCTGGAGAAGATAAGCCAGTAATCACTACGTGTATATGGTGTTAAATCACTTTATTTACCCACAGCAATTAGTTTGACCAAACAGCATTACAAGTCTGAGTCAGGATGCTACACGTTTGACTCATGATACTTAAAATCCTGCAGGGTGAAAGTGGGTGTCTGAGCTCTGCAAATGAACTCAAAGAAAGTCAGGTATTTCTTTTCTGGGTGAGAAGAGAATGTGAGGCGATGTGAATTGAGAGTCACTCAAGAACTCAGGTATTTTGTTGAGAAATGTCAAAAAGCTGAATGCTTCAATATCTTGCAGAAAAAAAAGGGATTGGAAGGAACCTTAACATCCCTCAGAAAGCATGTGTCCGTTTTTCAAATACAGTCACAGTAAAATGACCTGTAAAGGCACTGTGAATATTATAGCTTCCTGATCATTCAGTATAGTATGTCTTGTTCAGGGTTGCTTAATCATCACATCATCTAAGAAGAATGTTATCTCAGAGATCACAGTTAGGAACAAAGGTAATTTAATGGGAGAGTACACTGAAAAAAACTTGGAATTTTGTTTTCATCATCATCATAATCAAAAATCTGTTGAAAAAAGGAGCTAAGACTAGTTATTGTTGGTTGCATCTTAAAAAATAATAAATAGATGTGAATGAAATTACTCTATCAAGCAAATATGCAATTCTTTCAACTGTAATTATACATGTATACTGAAACCAACATAAAATACAATGTGTTCTACAACAAAGTTCTATAACAAATGTATTGTAAATATAACTTTTAATGCCATTCCTCATCCAAAACTTTCAAAATATTTTTTAACTTAACCTGGCATCAAGAGAGAATAACCAATTACAGTCTGTGGTCTTCACCATCTTCACAAAGCTGCTGACAACAACCTTGAAACTATGATGTAAGAGCAACTTGTATTCTGAAATTGTCTCATAGATTGTCTTTGAATCTTTTTTAAAGTAACATTTTTTCTACACTCCCACGTCTGTTTCAAAACTGCTTTCATCCTTCACTCTATCTCATTAGTGATCTCTAAAGCAAATTCTCTGTTTTTAAATCTCATCTTTTTCCGTTGGTTTCAGTGTATTTTTGATCGGGAATGATCAGTTTGCTTATTCGCAACTTTGTTCTCACCATTATTAGATTAGTTGCCTTTAAAGAGCCTATACCAGTGCCTCACCAGACAACGTAGAACGGTCTTACATGTACTTGAGGGCAGATCCTGAGTTAGATTAAATGTTGACATAACATAACATGTCTAACCTTTGTCTCCAAACTGCAGAGCAGCAGCAACAGTCTCAAAAACACGATGATGAAAGAAACCAAAGGAAGCCAGTACCTGTCAGCTGGCACAGCTGTACCTGGAACTAGGTTAATCTACCATTAGTAACACATCACCGTCTACTTGAATAAATACCAAAGTTCATGGAGCTTATTACTGTTACATTTTAACTACTTTTGAGAGTATTATATTCAGAACAGTTTGTTCTTCCGATTAAGAATCAGTTTTAAGTATACACAGCTTAATCCTCTGGTTGTTGACTTATCATAATTTCCATGGAGTAATTTTACAGGATCATAAAAGGTGAGCAGGTGGTGGAGATATTGCTTGCAAGAAATTTGAATATTCATGGGACCATGCATAAATTATGTGTAGAGCTTGTGTACACTAAAGCCATTTTAGAAAATGACTGATTTATAGAATATCTGAAAAGATATACACTTAGGGAGGAAAATGTATGGTATCAAATATGGTATTTAGATTACACTAAAATGAGTTTTAATCAGTGACTTAGGAAGAAATCTTTATTATAAACAGACATTCATAGTTCCTGAAGACCATATCACGTGTCATCAGTTGGGATCAAGCTGCCCATTTGCATGGAAATAAGCAACAAAGCAACGAATAGTTCCAAAACTGAAATCTGTGAAGAGAACTTAAGAAGACATTGAGTCTCTACTACTCTTTTTCCTGAGCTATTTCAGAATCAAAGTGCTCATCAGTCATCTATTATTTAATCTGTTTCACTCCACTGTTTTTCTCTGTTTCCACATGCACCAGTTAGTATCAGCCCACTTGGTGGAGCTCCATTTATTTTGGGAGACCTCATTCTCGTCTGCTCATACGTTGAAGTCCTTTCATGGTCTGAGAATGTTATCTTGCTTGGATGTCAGAGGACCAGAGGACACATGCTTCTCTGCTGGTCCTGTGATTCTTTCCTTTGACTTCTGACCATTCATCACCATTCATAGAAAATTCATCCAACACAGCTTTGACAACAAACATCAGGGATAAATTAAACACAGATTCCTCTCTCAATTGTTCAGATTGAAATGTAACAAAAATACATGTCTTGTATTGTCCTTTTAACTATTTATAACTTTCTGATTTACGTACAGTCACATGGCAGAGGGTAGAGCAACACACACTTGCTCCAAAAGAAAATTCTACAAAACAAATTACTTAAATTCACATGTGTGAAAGTAATATTTTTTCTTCTTTTCTTTTTTAATCAGTAGTTGCTATATGACTCTTATATGAAGAATGGAAACAAAGTATCTCTTAACAGCATTAGCTTAACTCCACAATGATGGTTCAGTATGAATCATGTAATGATTGCATATATGGTAATATATCAGTCGTCGGGTCTTCACAAAAGAGTTAAATACTATTGCTTTTTCTATTTTGTTTCACCATTTCAATATTTTTTCATTCTCCAGATAAGGTCATGAATAATGGGGGCTGTTATGGCTTTTTCCCAGCACCTGGCGAACAGCGTTTAAACTTTTCCATCCAGCAGCACATGCTTCATGAAATCATCCAGCCGAGTGCATCCGTATATTGCCGTGATGTAGAGAAAAACAGATGTTGTTCAACATCTTTCTTCTGCCTGTGACCTTTATGTGACCTTTGAGGTGAATGTACATTTCTTTTGTTTTTGCTCCAGAAATTTATGAAAGCTATTTTGGAACTTTATGCACACAACAGAATTTCGCTGCTTAAAAACAAGCAAACAGTCACACTTTGCTTTTGCTGAAAGCGTGGCGTCAGCAGTTTGTTAAGGCTGAGGTGACTGAAGCTGCCTCTCAGTAGCAGACGAATGGGCACACAAAGGATGTTTACGCTCAACTGAGCTCTTTAGTCGTCACGCATCTTTTGTGAACGCGCGCGCCTCAGTTCAGAACTACACTGCGATGACACTGACCTTTTATTTACATTTGGTAATGCGCGCTGTGTTGATCACATGCTTTCACGGCCATTGAATTGAGTCATTAATACCTCGTTGTAAGTTACAGATGCAGACTTTTCCCGTCGTGTGTGCGCTGGGGCCTTCTGTCGCTGCCTCTGAGAGATTTCTACGTATTCAGCTTTGAAAGGGCATTTTTAATGACCTCTTGCCATCATTTCTCTCTGAGGAAATAATTTCCAAACCATCCCCTACTTCACTGATTAGGCCTCAAAGGATTTTCCTGATGTTGTTTCCACTTCCTTCCACTTTCCTCCTAATGCAGCCGTGTCCCTCAAGTTCTCATTTGTATGAATCTTATTTTATGACCCCACTGTCCCAAAAGCTTTATTCTAGTTGCTTTCTCTCTGCGACCTCTTTCCCTTGATGCTTGTCTAGATTAACTGTTTGTCTGTTGTCCTTATTCTCTTTCAACAGAATGACACCTGGTCAGAGCTGTACTCCTTTGCAGTTTTTAAGGCAATGAGTCACATGCTGTGCATCGGTTATGGCAGACAGGCGCCGGAGAGTCTCTCGGATATCTGGCTGACTATGCTGAGTATGATTGTAGGAGCTACCTGCTATGCCGTCTTTATTGGCCACGCGACAGCTTTGATCCAGTCCCTGGACTCCTCCAGACGGCAGTATCAAGAAAAGGTGAGGGAACAACCCCGCCCCCTGTTGTCAACACTTTCTGTTTGCTGTTCACTTATTAAAACACTTCTAATCCACTGTCCCCTCTGATATCTGCTTAAAGCAGAGGTTTAACATTTGGGAAATGTGCTTATTTACTCAGCAGTCCAGAATGATATGAGAAGATTAGATATGGTAAAGATTGAGCCATCTGATGTTGAAAAAGGCAAATACTCACACACGCTTCTCACCTTTCCATCCTAAAGATATTTATCATGATATATCAACAGCTAAAGGTCCTATAATACATCCCATAAGCACACAAATAGTAAAAAAATATTTTAAAACATTTGCCAATCTACCAATTTAAAGCTACAAGTACACCACATTTTGATTTTTTTTCTCAAAAAAAGAGAAAAACATCTTTTCAAAGATAAAACCGGTCGCCAGTAGCTCACTAAAAATTCAAAAGCTCATGAATGAAAAGCTCATAACTGAATGGTTTAATCAACTCCTGATTTACACATAACTGTTGTTTATTGTGAAATAATGCCAAACTGGTGATTTATACAGAGTCCTGGACCAGTAGAAGTTGCTGGGCTTGGTACGGATGACATCTAAACTAATAGTCATGTTTTTGTGTGAAACAAACAAGCAACAACAGATTATTTTTCACTGCTCACTGTTGTTGTGAGTGTTGTATTCTGCTCCAATCACTGTTTTAAGGATTAAGGAAAGTGTGGGCCATTTCCAAGTGTTACCAACGAGAATGTGCTTTTTAGATAAATCTTTTTTTAAATGGCCCACCATGAAAAAACTTACTTTATCAGCAAAACCTGCCAAATGTGAGAAACCCAGAAAATTCATATTGCGGTCCTTTTGTGCGTGAATGTATTAAATGTATCCCTTAAACCAGTGTATTCTAATCCTGGTCTTTAAGGCACATGGCCCTGCATATTTTTTTTTATCATGGCATAACACAGGAGCTCTTACAGCTGACACACGTGCACAGGGACATGTGATGCTTAATGCATTAATGCTTGATGCATTAATCAGCTGTCCTTCTTGACATTTTCAAAATTACTCACTTTCCTTTTTCTTATAATAACATCATCAGGTGTTTCCTGATCCCTTCAAATATTTTTTTCTGTCTGTGTCACCGTTTGTATTTAAGATCAACGTTCCAGTGGATCCTTTGACCTCTGAACTTTTCTCATGAGAACTCTTCATCTCTGTGTTGAAATGAGCTTCACCTCCCCTGTTTGCTCTTTCATACTCCAACATTCCCGTTCCGTTGGCATATATATTACATATCAGCCTTTTTACGATAAGTCAGTGGAAATACAATGCTTCTCCCTCTTTTTTCTCTTTTACCCATCAGCTTTTTCATCGTCTTCTGGTTCAGTCATTCAGCAGATCGGTATTTTCACGGGAAAAGCTCTTTAAAGTTCATATTAATCTGCACATTTACCGCTGATTAAGTAATTCAAAGTCGCCCCATATTTTGCCTCTTCGCAAGTCCCGAGATTTTCTACGATGAATATAGACTTTATAAAGTGTTAAGCTGCGATGCATCATCTTAATGACAGTGTAATGTCAACGGACCCCAGGAGGGGCCCGGTTGGACTAAAAGCTTAACTTCACACCAACACTGTGAATCACCCATTTACAAAATGCTATAAGGTAGTGCTCTTGTGAACAGCTGTTGGTCCTGATCATGTTTTTTTTTTTTTTGGTTGTTACGAGCAGCGCCTATCAGATCTGCGGCAGAGGTCTGTGGCGTTGGCTGCTCAGCCAACACTGTTTCCAAGCAGAGTCTCGCTGGTTGGGGAGCAGGGGGGGGGGGCAGCCAATCAGACGCCTCGGGTGTGTTCGGCCAGGTAGAGCCGCGGCCTATACGTGGGCCGGTGTGTATGTGAGTGCGATACGATGTCCCCTCGGGCAGCAGCAGAACTGATGAGGCAGCACACCAGCGTGTCCTGCCAATGTCATCCTGAAGATGACGTAAGCGGCCATGGCTGCCGTTTCCTCTGCCTCTTCTCTTCTCCATAACTCACTCACCGGTTCCGACTCCACCTGCACTCCCTATCGACAAGCAACCCCCATCTCACAGGATGTCACCCCCCCCCCCCCCCCCCCTTTTTTTTTTCTTCACCTCCACCTCCCTGGTGTCTCCAGCTGTTTTTTTTTTCCTTGTTTCATCTCCTTTTTCTATCTCACTCTGTTCTCACCTCCTGAGCTAAAATTTTCTCTGTTTTCCTTCTCTTTTGTGGTCTCTATCCCTCATGGTGGTGGTGTCCTTGAAAGGTGCAGCAACACTGCAACCCGGCTGCTACAGGGAGCAAAGCAAGGGGGAGGGGAAGCCTGTGGGAGACAAAACCCTGGATATTTGAACACCGTGTATTTGAAATGAGAGCTTAGTGTTTTTGTCTGACCGGTATTGGGCATAGCTTTAGTAAATTTCGACCAATAAATGGTTTAGAGGTCAACAATTTAGCATGCAGAGCGCTCGCTAGTACTTGTGTCTTTGTTGTTTATCCTGGATGTTTGGAGGTAAAAGACAAGGAGGAGGTGGTGGCTGCCTGAAGAAACAAGCCACCCTAGAGAGGAACAATTGCTCACCTTCTGTTCAGTTTCCTGTTGCTGGTGGTTGCAAATGTATGTGTCAAGTTTAAATACCATGTGATATTTGACAGTCTTTGGAACTCACAATGAACTGAAGCCCGCAATATCAAAGAGATAAGATGATTTGAACAAGAATTTTAATCTAAAAGCTGCCCGTGCTTTTATTCAGTTCAAGAACTGAGCGACATATATTTGGATGGCATGAAAATATGTTTACAGTCCTTTGTGGGTAGTCGCATGCATTTAAATATCTTTTATTGTGACCTCCTCTGATTGCAGAATATTTGGTTCTTACGCTGAGGCTATAAAGTGCATTTTCCTAGAACTCTTTTTCTGGCCAGTTGTCAGATTTTCTTATCATTTGAGGATTAGTATTACAGCGGAAGATGTGTGAATTATGAAAAAAAATAAAAATTGCAGAGAGCAGAAAAGTGCAAAGCTTGTCACTGAGGCTGATGCTGCCGGGTGGATTTGCCTTGCCTCCAAATAGGACTGCGAGTGACATTTTTATCTTTTGGAGGGTGTTAGAAAAACAGGCCTGTTGGCAGTCTGCCTCAGTCCCCGTGTGGAGGGAACTATCATTGTGGTGAGGTTTCCATTTCAGCCCAGAAGTAATGTCAGGTTGGATTTGAAGAAAAACATGGCGACGTGGCTTTGGTGCAGGGATCTCTGAGTAATACATGGTAACAGTGGCACAGAACACAAAAAGCAGACAGACTTACACTGAAAGATTCAGCCTCAACTTTCACATATTGAAAGTAAATCACATAAAGAATATGATTCAAAAAAACTTTTTTTATTTTATTTAGTAATATATTTTGGATTCTAACCCTGTACTATTATACAGAGGAAAGATGACTAACTGTTGCTTGTCAACAGAACAAATAAATATTGCTGATAACTTCGAAACAAAAAAGCATCACACTTGTGTGATTGAAAGTGTTTATTTGGCAATGCACGGTTTCTAATATTTTTTCTCTACGAGTGTTTAATTACTTGTATGTGTAATGCCGAAAAATGTCGTGTGTTTCCATCCATTATCAATACCGCTTATTCCCTGATGGGGTCGCGGGGGGAACTGGAGCCTATCCCAGTGGTCAACGGGCGAGAGGCAGGGTACACCCTGGACAGTCCGCCAGTCCATCGCAGGGCCACACAAGACAGTGCTAACCACCACACCACCGTGCCGCCCTGTCGTGTGTTTGTCAGAAATTATTTAGACTGCATCAAATGTTACTATATCTTATATATTAAATCCAGATTTTTAATTCCTAAAGGCCCAAAGTCAGAAGCGACATATTATGAAAGTTCACTCTATACAGATATTGGCATGATTTTCTCATTTTCTCATACATTTTGAAATGATATATATTAAATAGATGCACAGACTAAAAAATCATATACACCACCTGTCATGATTAATCTAGTCATGCTGATAGCTCTGATCTGCTGATAGCTGTTAGAAAAGGAAAGTTGTCCCAATCTTAAAAGTTAAACTAATAGTGTCTGTGCAACTAACCCAACACAATGCTGTCTGGTGGATGCTCTGAAGGAACATTAAGTGGACATGTTGTGGACTGTTTTGTGTTACTTTAAACCACATATGTCAAAGTCAAGGCAGGCGGGCCAGATCCGGCCCGCGAATTGATTATCTATGGCCCGCTGGATGATATTTAATTATTATTAGAACCGGCCGCAGGCCACAGCCGCCCGCTGGGGTTTTGTACGCACCAACACTACATTTCCCACAATGCAACGGTCGCCCGCGAAGTCACTGCAGCACGCACAAACGGCTTCATTCGTTCAGAGCAGAGATCGACTTTTTGATACCCCCTCCTCAAAAATGACTAAACGTAAGGTGGACGCTGAGAACAGGGGGTTTCAGGCCAGGTGGGAGGCAGAGGACATGTTTACGGAGGTAAAAGGCAAACCTGTGTGTCTGCTGTGTGGAGTAAGTGTGGCTGTAATGAAAGAATTTAATTTAAGAAGGCACTATCAAACGTCTAAGAAACACACAGACAAAGACAAGAATATGGAATATGAACAAAAGCTACAGAAGGTGGAAGAATGAAAACGAGCCCTTTAGTCCAGACAAGATATGTTCACATATGCTAAATCACAAAGTGAGGCTGCTGTCAAGGCTAGCTTTATTGTGCCATAAATTTTTGTATTTTATTTATTTATATTTATTTTGAATGGAGTCAGGGAAAATTGCAGATAAGAGCCATGAGAAAGAATACAACTGATTTGATTTATTTTTTAAATTTTACTATTTGAAAGCAGTGATTGGTAGATCATAGAGCAGCACAATAATACATTTTCCGTTTATAATGCATGCAGTTTTATTTATGCATTTATCTTGATATTAAGAAACACATTTTGTTTTTAAAAACAATTTAATTTTTTGCTGTTTGGCTGTTGAAAATGTTTTCCCTTGAAGTTATCGACAGAGCCATAACAAAATATTGCCATATTCATTTAATCAT